CAAGCTTATAGACACAGCTACATCCTGGACCTTTGATCCATCGCCAAAGAAGCATTTCTCTGCTCTCGGAAAGGACTCAAGTCTCATGATTGCGTATTATTACTGAATAAGATACCTTTGGATTATTTCCTGGATGCTGAAGCCTTGATGAGCTTGTGAGCTTTCGTTTGGGAAAGGATTTATGTTGTAGATTCTCTATAAGTGTGATAAAATGATCCTGTGAAGACTTGTCTATGTGGATCCTTGTCAAACACCTGCAAATGACATCAGTGGCCTCAGTAACTGAGTTAATAGTTCATATATACATATATATATACATATACATATAATGCAGTGCAGATTCATATTTCCATTGCTATGTGCAGCTGTTTTCAGTTCAAACATCTACGACACATTTTACAGGCAAAGAACAACCAGTTTACTTTTATTTCCTGCAAAATGAAAGTTAACCGTCCCTGATTCTATGAAGTTAATAGTGAAAGTGAAGCAATCACAAAAGAATCTCAGGCAGCTGAAAGACTATGATTGTGGTTTAGAGGAATTCTGCAGTTCTTTTGACTCAGTGACAGGTTTATTTTCATTTCTGGAAATCAACTTCTCTTTCACCTAACATGAGTAAGCGTCTGTAACAAGCGACACTTTCAACACACATGCAACATAAATTAAAGGGCACTTTCACATGTTGTTTGGAGTGTGTGAACACAACCACCCTACAATGATAAAAATCCAGCCACTCCTCATTTTTTAATCCCCATTAAACCAAGTCAGTCTCACTAGGCCTGCCGTTTTGATTCTCTAAGCAATATGACATCACCTTGCATAGGCCCCGCCCACGGCGGCTGATTGACAGCTCTGCATTGCTATAGTTTCCGCCCTCAGCGGTTGTATATATACTGTACATGTGGCATTACAGCTTGGGAGTTATGCTCAAACTGCTCGCCAGCTATACGTATCAAGCATATTATTGTGCACCTTCTGGCTGACGTCTTCTTTTTGCTTCAGATTACCAAGGCTTTCAAGTCCTATCCGTCATGGACCTCACTGCTGAGAGACTTTCATTCTTCATAGCAAGCTACAGTATAGTCGTCCTGGGACTCACTGCACGTTCCCACTGTTTCACTTTCAAAGACATTACTAATGTGTCTTAATCATATCACTCAAGCTGATGGATGCAGGGGGTCAATACTAAAGCTCTTGTATGTTCAAATAATTATGGAGCAAGAACCCCGTAAGGAGCCACTCCACCAGAGATAACTTGTGTTTCAATAATCTCAAAGTAACTTTGACAAGAGGCCCTGTCTGAAATAAGATTACAGAACAGACAACACTGGCTTCAGTAAATGAGTATTAACAGATATTCTAAGGAACGTGCAACACATTTTATCGCACTAAACATTTGTAAATAATCATACAATATACCAGAATTGCTGATAATCGATACATTTATACACGCGTAACTATTTTGCAGAGGTCTTCACCCCTTTATCTAATCTGCAGATTCATATTTCCATATGCGCAACAAGAGTCTGATTTATTATTTAGTCTATAGGGTTATTCACTAACACAAAATACATTGAAAAGTTTAAGATACTCTCACTTTAGTGGAACAGTTTTAGTTTCTTGTAGCATGATAAAGTTTACAGAAGAAACACTGTTTATTGTTGTACGAGATGCTTCGAGATTGACTTCTAGGATCAGAAAAAAAGTCAATTAACCCGTTATCAGCTCAATTATCCTTAATGAAATCACCTTCTATGCTAAACTGAATATACTGTATTTCTGACAAAATGTTGGTTTTATAAGACCAGTTTCTGGACGATTTAAACGTAACGATATATAGATTACGATTTTATAAAAGCACCACATTAAAGCTCATATCATAAACAACTCAAAACATATCAAAAGTTGTAAGTGCTGACACTGGTCATTTTTATGGTAGTTTTAAGCATTTTAAACTTTAGGTTAGAAAACATTTAGTTTACAAAACATTTACACTAAAAACAGAAGTAGCATCAAGCCACATTTGAAAATGTATGTACGTTAATTATTAATGCATTTGCTTAAAACCCACTTTAAACCATCATGGAGTGCTTGTAATAACTCCCGATTGTGATCTATAGTTGATTTCGATTCTATAATTGGCAGACAAGCACTCTTTGTGTGTTTAATAACGCCACACTCCTTAGTCATAAACATCCTTTGTTATAAAAATACCACGAGCCGCATACAAAACGCATAAAATATATCATCATAATTATGTCTATTTGCTTTCCTATTTCATGTATAGAAATATTTCACTCGAATTTTTTTTAAATACAGAAGATCGAGAGTTAACGCGCTCCGACTCATAACACTCGCAAGAAAACGGACTCTCCAGATCACATAATTCAGTGAATAATTAACAGAAATTATATTAAGAACATGTGAGAATAAATCTGTTCTCAGACACCAAAGATAACAAGAACTCACAATCCACTCTCTGAATACTCTTCTTCGGTGTTTCTTTACACTGGTTTTCGAACAGCGCCACCACTCCTTTTTGTGCAACAGCAGCTGCTCTGGGCACGTGATCGAAGCTCAAATCTGATTGGACGGCCCGTTGCATCGCGGAGCAACTGGGAAAAAATAAGACACAAATGACAAAAAAAAAAAAAAACACGTCACTTTTTCGCGCCTTGTGAGAAGAGGTCCACGGAGACCTATTGTTTTAATTCAAAAACGTAATCGCGCCGAATCTTCACATTCAGTGTGAAAAGCTCTTAATTTATGAAAGCTCTTTTAAGCGAGAAGATGTGTGGCTCTTAAAAGAGCCTTTGTGTGTGAGCGCTGGAGCGGAGCTCTACTTGGAGCTGGTGTACTTGGTGACGGCCTTGGTGCCCTCAGACACGGCGTGTTTGGCCAGCTCCCCGGGCAGCAGCAGACGCACGGCGGTCTGGATCTCTCGGGAAGTGATGGTGGAGCGCTTGTTGTAGTGAGCGAGACGAGACGCTTCACCGGCGATGCGCTCGAAGATGTCGTTGACGAAAGAGTTCATGATGCCCATCGCCTTCGAAGAGATCCCGGTGCCAAGATGAACCTGCTTCAGCACTTTGTAGACGTAGATGGCGTAGCTCTCCTTCCTGGTCTTTCTGCGCTTCTTTCCTCCCTTCGCGGCGGTCTTCGTGACAGCCTTTTTGGAGCCTTTCTTAGGCGCGGACTTTGCTGGTTCAGGCATGATTCTGCTGCGTGACTAAAACCTCACGAGTCGATGACTAGCACGAGCGAGACAGAGCCATTTATTGACTAATCTATGCTAATTACCAAAGAGATATGGAAGCTTCTGATTGCGTGTTTTCACAGACTAAACACATAAACCCGTCTGTGATTGGACAACTCGAAGTATCACGAGCGGAACGAGGGCCAATCACAGGCGGTGAAATGATAGCTCCGCCCATCGCTCCATGTTTGAACGACATCAGCCCACATGACTAAGCTTCTTTTGTTTTAATTCCCGCTCTTTTTCTTAGTCATATTCCTTTCAAGAAAACAAATTGATCTCAAATATTATACGGTGTCATTTTTAAAACCCTTATTGACCCATTGAGAGAATTTGGAGGAAAGCAATAATGATTAGACACTTTATTTTCCTCTGCTGTTCTGTAAATGTGTTCACATGCGTTTTACTACTATATAGTATAGTAATATAGTAATAATTTAGTACTTGCTCCTGTTTTATTGTTGGTTTCCTCTTTTCTGATTATTTGGAATGAGGGAACAAAAATAAAAAAAAAAAAAAAAAACCACGTCACTTTTTCGCGACTTGTGAGAAGAGGTCCATGGAGACCTATTGTTTTAATTCAAAAACGTAATCGCGCCGAATCTTCACATTCAGTGTGAAAAGCTCTTAATTTATGAAAGCTCTTTTAAGCGAGAAGATGGGTGGCTCTTAAAAGAGCCTTTGTGTGTGAGCGCTGGAGCGGAGCTCTACTTGGAGCTGGTGTACTTGGTGACGGCCTTGGTGCCCTCAGACACGGCGTGTTTGGCCAGCTCCCCGGGCAGCAGCAGACGCACGGCGGTCTGGATCTCTCGGGAAGTGATGGTGGAGCGCTTGTTGTAGTGAGCGAGACGAGACGCTTCACCGGCGATGCGCTCGAAGATGTCGTTGACGAAAGAGTTCATGATGCCCATCGCCTTCGAAGAGATCCCGGTGCCAAGATGAACCTGCTTCAGCACTTTGTAGACGTAGATGGCGTAGCTCTCCTTCCTGGTCTTTCTGCGCTTCTTTCCTCCCTTCGCGGCGGTCTTCGTGACAGCCTTTTTGGAGCCTTTCTTAGGCGCGGACTTTGCTGGTTCAGGCATGATTCTGCTGCGTGACTAAAACCTCACGAGTCGATGACTAGCACGAGCGAGACAGAGCCATTTATTGACTAATCTATGCTAATTACCAAAGAGATATGGAAGCTTCTGATTGCGTGTTTTCACAGACTAAACACATAAACCCGTCTGTGATTGGACAACTCGAAGTATCACGAGCGGAACGAGGGCCAATCACAGGCGGTGAAATGATAGCTCCGCCCATCGCTCCATGTTTGAACGACATCAGCCCACATGACTAAGCTTCTTTTGTTTTAATTCCCGCTCTTTTTCTTAGTCATATTCCTTTCAAGAAAACAAATTGATCTCAAATATTATACGGTGTCATTTTTAAAACCCTTATTGACCCATTGAGAGAATTTGGAGAAAAGAGAGCAATAATAATTACTTTTTCCCCCCTCTGCTGTCCAACAAATTTTTACTTGGCACTACTACCTTATTTTCTCTTTATTTTATGAAAAAAAAGGCTAAATAATCTTATAAACTAAAAAAAAAAAAAAAAAAGTCAGTTTCCGGCTCAAAAGCTACGAACACACGTATATCCTCGGTACAAACAGACACAAACCATCAGATTAATTTCACTTTAAGCAGATTTGTTCACAAGCACGTGTGAATTTTCATCTAAAGCATGAAACAGCAACATGAACTCTTTCTGCGAGAGTGTGTGTGGCTCTTAAAAGAGCCGTTGGGGTCGTTCTCCTGATTGAAGGAGTTTATCCTCCGAAGCCGTACAAGGTGCGTCCCTGTCGCTTCAGCGCGTACACCACGTCCATGGCGGTGACGGTCTTTCTCTTGGCGTGCTCGGTGTAGGTGACGGCGTCGCGGATCACGTTCTCCAGGAACACCTTCAGCACACCGCGGGTCTCCTCGTAGATCAGACCGGAGATGCGCTTGACGCCGCCGCGGCGCGCCAGACGACGAATAGCGGGTTTGGTGATTCCCTGGATGTTATCCCGCAGCACTTTACGGTGCCGCTTAGCGCCTCCTTTCCCGAGTCCTTTACCGCCTTTGCCTCTTCCAGACATAACTAAGATACTTTTCTGTTTTAGTCAACCGACGAAAACGAATATGAAACAAGAGTGTCCAGGGAGGCCTTTTACAGTTGCTCATAGGACCTAACTGAAACCAGCTCCGCATCACATGGTGCAGCTAGTTAGAGCAGGAAGCAATGTGGTTTAACCCCTTGTGCACTCTGATCTAATGTCTGTCTTGCGTTTCGCATTGAAATTCATATTTCAATGCGTATATATCTATATATCTATATATATAGATAGATATAAAGTTAATTTGACAAAGACGATTGATAAACTCATATCTACATAATATTTACATGTATTTGGCAGACGCTTTGACTTTCATATCATCATCATGGTTGTATAACTTAGAGCCACGCTCCATAATTTGAGCTGCAGGAACGTTAACTTAATATTTATGTAATTGCACTTTGATGTATTATATGCACATGTATATTACAAGTATAGTATCGTAATTTATTTAAGAGATGTGCACGTCATTGTGAAACAGTGATTGTCATATCGGTGTTATGTCTGTATCGTTTGTATCGTTTGTACAGATTTAACTTCATACAGAATTAACTTTACAGAAAAGCTACATTATTTCCTACTCAGTGCACTCAGTGCTACAGTGGAAACGGTCTCGTTCAGTGCGGTGTGTGTGGCTCTTAAAAGAGCCTTTGGGGAGCACTGTAATTGCACTTTGATGTATTATATGCACATGTATATTACAAGTATAGTATCGTAATTTATTTAAGAGATGTGCACGTCATTGTGAAACAGTGATTGTCATATCGGTGTTATGTCGTGCCCGTGTGTATTGTTTGTAGATTTAACTTCATACAGAATTAATTTTACAGATAAAAGCTACATTATTTCTATTTATCATGCTACAGTGGAAACGGTCTCGTTCAGTGCGATCTCCCGCAGAGCCACGGTGCCGGGCCTGTAGCGATGAGGCTTCTTGACGCCGCCGGTGGCTGGGGCGCTCTTACGGGCGGCTTTGGTAGCGAGCTGCTTCCTCGGGGCTTTGCCGCCGGTGGATTTACGAGCCGTCTGCTTGGTTCTTGCCATCACTAAAATATACTTCTTTCTGCGTTTAGTACACGTAGAGATACGTTTCTGTCTGATGCTTCTGCTTTTAAAGCATCAAACGGTCACGAGCTAATGATGTGATGAAGATGCAGAGGCTTGTGATTGGCTGATGTGTGACGTCTGCGCATGACTGCTAGCCAATGACTGTGCAGCTTCTGTTTTCAAACTGGGCTGTTTGTGTTTCCCGCTCAAAATGTTTTGTTCCGTTTATTATTTCATGCATCAAACACTTTCTACACTAACACACACTTAACAGATTTTCTTATAACAGTTTTATTTACTCGTTATGAAATTTTTGTTTGGTTTAATGATTGTGTAAAATAATTTCCTGCTTTTGATTGTATTTGCAATCAGCCACATTTAACAATGTTTATTTGGTTGGCATCTTGTTTTATTCTTTAAAAATGTAATGTTCAGTCATTATGTAAAGTAGGAGAAAAGCACTCTATCCGACCGACGGGGAATTGCAGTCCTGCTCTGGAGGACCGAGTCTTTGCCTTCGCTCTCGCTTTGCCACCGGTTTTGCCTCTGCCGCTCATGCTTAACTACAGTCAAAAGAACTTGTACAAATGATTAACTGTCTGCAGTTGTATGCGCCGATCTTAAACGAGTGTGCCAGTCTCCCATTGGTTTAGAGTTGCTAATATTTCAAACCAATCACTGAACTTCTCTCCACAGCGCCCCTCCCCCCTCCTCACACACGTCTGGCAGGAGTTACTTAGAAATGTATCATTATTATCAACTGTTATTATTTAACGTCATTACTTCTCAAATCTAAATATATACAGTTGTGGTGGTCATAAGTTTACATACATCTAAATCTAAATGATCTTTACAGAATGAGAGGAATCATAAAATTACATGTTTTTATGTATTTTACTCTCTATGATGATATACTTCAGAAAAACGATGGTGATCTTTTCATTTGAAAACTGAATTTGTAAATTAAAACAAGATGTTTGTAGATGTGGCATTAGATTGACATGCAGTCATGCAGAGAGATTAAAGTCAACATGAAATGAAGATTCACCCTAATTATACCTGGACTTGATCCGTTCAGCCAAAAATAACACTTTTGTCATCATTCACTCATCCTCATGTTGTTCCAAACATTGCCTCCTGCTGCTGCTGATTGTGCCACGAGCAATAATGATTTATTTTTACTTGTTTACTCTCAAAACAATTAAGTGGATCAATCTGCCAGGTGCATTCGTATTGATGATATGTGAAAAGACTTATGTACTATATATATATATATATATATATATACAGTGTAAAATGACTTTTTCTGTGTGACGGGCTGAATGTAATTTATTGTTTGTCTCAATTAGGGCAAATGATACTGATTTGATTGATGTAACCATCACAAGCCATTCTCACAATTCCCACAAAACATCAAAGTGAAGTGACATGTGGCCAAGTATGGTTACCCATACTAGGAATTAGTGCTCTGCGTTTAACCCATCCAAAGTGCACACACACACAGCAGTGAACACACAAGCAGTGGGCAGCCATTTATGCTGCGGCGCCCGGGGAGCAGTTGGGGGTTCGGTGCCTTGCTCAAGGGCACCTCAGTCGTGGTATTGAAGGTGGAAGAGAGCGCTGTACATTCACTCCCCCCACCTACAATCCCTGCCGGTACGAGACTCGAACCCGCAACCTTTGGGTTACGAGTCCGACTCTCTAACCATTAGGCCACGACTTCCCCACACATGGCTTTTTGGCTTTTTGTTCAAAAAAAGAACAAAAAGGCTTTTTGTTCCCCACCTCATGGCTTTTTGTTTTTTTGACATACTTAAATCAGCAAAATTCACAATAACAATAATAAACACACAAAACAAACAGGTATAAAACTAGGACTCAATTAAACTATACTTTAAAAATCAAATCATAGAGTCATCAAAGACACAGACAATAGAAACTGCTCTTCTTTTACAGTATGTCTTCATGTAATTTTGCCATGTTTTTTCCATGACTCCATTATCCTCTTGAAATCTGTAATTATAATCAACTCCTTTCGCCGCTTGTTTCGTATCCATCATTAAATCTGAGTTTTCTGTGTTATTCAGAAGATTTTCAGGTCTCGTGTTTTTCCACCTACAAATGTTCTGGAGTCCCTGAAGAGATCATTCCCCAAATAAACAATCCAATACAAATGATATTTACTTGGATATGTTTGCCGCAGTCGAGTCGAGTCCTTTGTTCCACTGGCGGTGGTTTAGACTGCATTAATTTGTGCATTAATCAGCGATCGGTGTGGTTTAATTGGGCTCTTCCGGGAGCAAACAGGTAAAGTGTCTCCTGTGAGTCTGATGAGCTTCACAAACTCTGCACGACTCCAGCAGAGACAAACATACAGAAACGCAGAGCTGAAACAGAGTGTCTCTGTGAGGTCCTGTAGTGTGTCGTCAGTGTGATGGGGGACAGGTGAAAAGTCAGATGAGACGGGCCTCCAGCGCTGATCCATGACCCCTTTAAAGTTATAAAGTTAGTAGTATTAGTACACTTGCTGCATATTTGGAAAATACACGAAGTTTAAGTTTGCTTAAGCATCCGGTTCCTGGGGAAGTTTGTCTTTCTGTCTCTAAGCCTTGTTTTTCCTCCGCGTCGTGTTTCTCTTATTCGTTAATTCATTACTTAATTGTGTTGCTCTGTCATTATTATCACATGCTGAAGTGGAGAAGAAGAACAGCAGATATTGATGTATTTACAGCTGTTTTTAGCTGAACCGAATGACGTTAATCTCTGATGGTGACTCGTGAAATTACATGAGAAAAACAGTTCATGTTACTGATATTTCCTTCATCACCCAATGCAAGTAAAATACTCGAGCAATCACAAGTTAAACAAGAACAAAGTGGCAGTTTCTTAAAGTGACAAAAAGCATGAGCGGCTATTACAATTGTGCTGGAATTAAAATGTCAGGACTGGTGCTGTATTCGCTGTGCTGTAAAGCAGTTTCTGGATGTCTGCAGATGCATTTCTTTCAGGCTAATCATCCGTCTCTGAGGGCCACACTCAAAACTCATTATGTTTCATTAGGAAAGCTGAACACTCGTTATAAGTCAGAAATGGCAAGGAGGCAGCTTCCCGCAACACAAGTCAATGGAGAGCGTTGGATTGTTTTCCCCCGGTGGGTGGTTTTCAGATCATGTGACTGCATTAACAGCAGACAGTGATCAGGCTCCAAAAATACCATACAATGGCCGTGTTGTGTGAAGAAACACATAAACACTGTGGCCTTAAAAACACTGAGCACTGGCTGCGTTACAAGACCATTACAAGTGTTTTCTGAAGATGTTTTCTGTCAAACACAAGACTGACGGCATTACATCACATCTATCAGATCCTGCAATATGTGGTGTACAAATACATTCAGATGTGTCTGTCGTCTCTGTTTTGTTGTCTTTGACATAAATAACACCTTTTGAACTTTATGCATATTTAAGTTTTTTTTTTTTGTACAATTCTTAACATTTTACAGCATTTTAAACCACTGAATATCACAGTTTGTCCATGTCCACCCTGTTAAGGGGAATGGGTCATTCCTAGTATTCGATCCCTTTTGGAAATCATAACTCATATCATAAAATATTTTTTATCAATTCTTGTGTATTTATGATATGGAGATGTAAAACGTAAAAAAAATAATTTAGGTCAATCTTAGGTATATAAATGTAAGGATCAATTAACTAAATGTGTCCACCCTGTTAGGTTTTCTGATTTAACAGAGTGGACACGTTGAGCTAAAATCAGCCAGCAAGTCTCAACAAGCAATGCTAACACAGCAGCTCTGTCAAATAAAGCTGCTTCTTTTAAATAAGAATTTCTATTTATTTGTTTTTCTTATTCCCCTTAACAGAGTGGACATGTTGAAGTTGACCACATCAAACTGGAAAGATAAAATAAGTAAAAACAGACAATTAACAAAACTCAATTAATTAGCTCTCACTCACCTTCCCCAGGTGTTTTCCCTCCAATTAAATTATGTTATATGACATAATTTCCTTTTTTCAACTTTCATCTAAAGGGCAGTAGTCGAATATAACATGGACAATATTTTGAGGGACATGCTAAAAACCTTTATTTATTTTTTTATGAATTTAATGCTTGGAATATATATATATATATATACATACATTAGAGAAAACTATTATTTATATACCAAACAACTTTTAAAAAAAAAATCCCTCATATTAAGTTTTGTATTCATCATGAATGGCAGACACAAGCCTGGGGACAGAAAAATTGTGATATTTGGTGGTTTAAATGCTGAATGTTTAGCATTTGGTTTAAAAAAAAAAAGAATGTTTAGAATAAAATAAAAAAAAAACTTAAATATGCTTAAAGTTACAAATGTGTTATTTATATCAGAGACAACTTGTTGAACATTTTAAGGCAATAACATCATGATCTTTACTGGAGACACAAAAGTAATGACCCTGACGAATTAATCCATCGCTAACAGCCCAATGTTACAGAACATTCCCATTTCATTTTGCTCAAATAAACTAAACTAAATTGATTTATATAAATGGCAAAGGCAAAGCGTCTCTCTTCGTGTTGTCATCTTCAGGAGCGTCAGACTTCATAAGATGCTGCGTCTCAATCACTAGGTGGCGCTCTGTCAGTATTTTCAGACAGAAAGACTGTCATGCAACAGATTGCTGTTTCTGTGTGTGAGCTCAGCTGAGCTTCTCTAGAGGACGGAGGATAACCTTCATATCTTCATCTATTTCTAAGTTTGAGGCTTGGCCTTCAGTAATTAAGCATGATTTCAGTCAGCGCTAGTGTTGATCAGAAGCTGTTCTCAGTACGAGGTGCAGCCGCACTAAAGCTGAATAAATACAACAATAAAGATAGGTTCAATGGTGAGCCTAAACTAGAACTGTTCATGTTTTCAAGTCATTGCATAGTTAGTGTAATATGATAACTGGTCCGATGTCTTTTGCCTGATTGATTACAGGTGTTCAGATGAGCAGATAAAGTAAGGACAAAGCAAAGCAAACGTGTCTGGACTTGTTTTCATTACTCTCTCATCCTTCATTTCTCACTCGTTTTGTGATTTTGTAGTTACTGTCCCATCAGTGAGGACTCGTTTTGTACAGTATATATTTAGCTTATATTATCACAAAATATACAGTATTCTCATTAAATAGCAACATTGTTTTTAGTGGGTATTATGACTGAGACTGCAGTTTGAACTAATTTGGTAAAATGTTGACTGCATATTGGTGTTATTTAGTTTATTATATTTTCTCTAAAACATGAGTTAGTGTGTTTCTGTATAATCTACGAATATACAAGATTCACTTTGACTGTATGTTTCTTGATTGTATGTAAATTATGTCTTCCTGAATGCATTTGCATAATTAAATTAGTCTGAAAGGTTTTCATGTTTTGTGCCCAAATTAATGATTAATTTACACTACAATAAAAGTTTATCATGTAAATTTCTCCTTTTTTCCTCACACAGAATGAACAGAATAAACAAATATCACAGAAATCGCAGGACGACATACGGCTGCGCATCATTGTGATGGAGAACTGTAACATATTACCTTAAATGCTTTAAATAATGTCTTAGTAGTAGGGTTAGTAATCGTATAAATCCTGAAGTGACTGCGTGTCGTGTTTAGTGGGTTAAGAGAAGCCAAACACGCTCAGGTCACGTGTGTTTCGTGTGTTTCGTGTGTTTGTGAGGAGCAAGTCAATGCTCTCTGATCCTCTAACATGGGTTTTACATCTTTTTGATGTGTGAAATGTTTGTGGTGCTTTTTTGGCAACCTGCAGCAAGGCTCGAAATTGCGACCATTTTGGTCGCATATGCTCCCGAAATTTAATCTGTGCGACCTCAAACTATATTTGGGAGCATTTGTGCGAGTGCATATAATTGTTGTCATGTTTTTGGTGAGTGCTCCTAACTTTTTGAAGTTGGGAGCACCAGTGCTACCAAGTAAAAAAGTTAATTTCGAGCCCTGTGCAGTATTTGTTTTGGCAGTATTACATGGTTTGAGGTTATTTTCCTTTTAGACAACAGCATTGTTTTGAATTGAAAAGCTGTTTCAGGTCTACTGAAGCACTGCATGAGTGTTTTTCTTTTCTTATAGTAAACCTTGACAAATACTATTAAACCCACTATTCTGGGTTTGATTGTTAATGTAAGAGTTAATGAGTTAATGTAAGATCATGTTGTCAGAATTTAACAGAAGGGCTTTGTAAACTAACAGCTGTAATTGAAGTTAACAACGATACATCGACTGTTACTGAATCATCACTACGAAACATTAAAATATTTTAAAGATACATCTGTGTTAATGCTAATTGTGTTAACATCCAAATCTATTAATTTGCAAACACTGCTGACGTTCCTGTAAAGCAGCAGTTTCATACCGTTTCATTATTAGCAGGAGAAGCTATGCGATGATCATTTTAATGTGTTTACAGATGTATAGTGGTTTTATTTAGCCAAAAACAGTCCAAAATTGAGTCCAAAAACACAACTTTAGACTGTTTCTCAGCTGTGAACCACAGATTCATATTTCAGGTGAAACCTTGCATAGATCTGATGTAGCTTCCTTTTCCATACTCAATAAAACAAAGTTTTCAAGGTTTATTAACAAACTGTGACTTTTTTCAAACATGCATAAAAATATACATTTTACAAAAACTAATGTATAAAACTATACGTGTATAAAACTGTAATTCCTTCCATGAGCTGCTAGTGACTCGATCTCAAATCACCAAACTTTATTTCGCTGTAGTTTAGCTCTTTAACAGACGAGAGTGCACTATCCACACTTAAACTGTTATAATTCATGAATGAAAACATGCTGTAATATGATTTTGTGTACCATTTCCATGGTAAGGCAACGTCTTAAAATAGGATGAATTTTGAGGTTTTAAGCTTTCAATTGATATATAATTTATGATGATTTCTAAAACATGGCAACGAAGAAAGATTTTTGTGACAAAGGTCAGAACTCCTGTTATGCAGATTTGTTAAGGGTGCACTCTTGTCATGAATTAATCTATTACTGTTCCTACATAATTTGTAACAAAAACAGTGGTAAAATGTCTATTTAGGAGTTTAGACCTTTCCAACGACATATAGTTTGCCATGATTAGATCAGGATTGATTTGTAAAACTGAAGTAAACGGGTGAGAGTTAAGAGGTTAAGGGTTATTTGTGTCGGCTGAGGCTGGAGTAAAGCACCGTGGGGCTGAGAGAGTCCCGCAGGGCCCCGGGGAGCGGATAGTCTGCTGGGGGCCGCAGGGACAGATACGGAGGAGTGAAGCTGGGTGTTGAGTAGGCGAGTCGCAGCGGAGCGATGGCAAACCGAGGGCTGAAGGAGTTCGTGGAGGAGGCGGATCTGGAGCCCAGGTGTGGAGAACCCAGCAGCAGCTCCATGGCCCTCAGCACGTCTCCAGAACCGGCCTCCAGCGCCGAGTCCAGAGCGTCTCGCTGGACGCCGGGGAAGATCCTGCTCAGAACCACAGCCGGCGCTCTGGACCGCTCTTCCCCGGGTTTCTCCGACTCGCCGCCGGACTCCAGATCCGAGGAGCTCACACGGTCCTTCAGCGGGTCACTCTTCTCTGGGCTGAACAAAGCCCGACTCATCCGTCTGAACACACCGCGCTTGTTTAGGCTTTTCTCTGCAGAAATAAAACATCAATAGTGTCAGTGTTTTGTTCATAGCAGGCAACAGAATGGAAGCTCATCTTTACAGGCTTTCACACGGAAAAAAACCATAGACAGCATCACAGGATTTGTAATGGTTTTACTGGTTATAATGGGACTTGCATTGGTTTTAATGGAAACGTAATGGATGCTGTGGGTCTCTACTGGTAATTGATCACCTTTTATTGGTGGCTTGTCTAAACCAATAAGTTCCAAAACACACTACAGAAAACTATTTTTTAATGGTTTTGATGGTTAAAAGTTGATGGTTTGTAATATTTGTAATGGTATTTGTAGTAGAAATTATTAGAATTTCTGTCATGGTTTCTATTGGTTGTTCTTTTGTTTGTTTGTTTTCAGTATAAGTGCTCTGATCTCTTTAATGCTGGAATACATTGCTATAAACCTCTCTGTGTCACTACTATAAACCTATGAATCTCTTTCTCATTATTCATGCGTAATATGAATATCGAGCAGCAGTGTTCTCTATAAACATACAATTATCTATAAACTAATTAAATGCATTCAACATGAAACGTTAAACGGACTAATTCTAACGGATTAATTATGTTTGCATCTGAACAAAAACAACACACTTTGTAATCAGCACACAGAAACAGCTCCTACCGTCTCTGAACGCGTCCGGACTGAAGGCGTCGAACGCGGACGGAGCGGCGGAGCTCAGCGGTGCTCTGGAGATCCTCAAGCCGGCCTCGCTCGCTCCTGCCGCGGGGTAAATCATCTGCAGCTCCTCCTGCGCCTGCTGCCTCCGCAGCGCCACCTGCGCCGCCATGACGCGCTGCCTCTCCGCGATCAACGCGCACTTGACGCACGCGCAGTCGCGCCAGCGGCAGAAGCGTTTGTGGCCCTTCAGAGCCGAAACCACGCCGTGATTCCTGCAGCGGGCGCACTTCGGGCTGCGCGGGAAACTCCTGTCCTCCAGCCGCAGGAAGAGCGCTGGGTGCGGGGAGAAGAGAGAGAAGCGCCCGCTGCTGGACTCCATCACTCTCCGTGACAGAGAGAGAGAGAGAGAGAGAGTTTCTGCTGCTGACGGGGAATCAGACAAAGATTTAATGCTGCAGGTGACAAAAGAGAAACACGACACCGACACGCCCCTCACACACACACACACTCACTCACTCACTGACACACACACACACACACACTCTCACACTCTCTCTCTCTCACACACACACACACACACTCTCACACTCTCTCTCTCTCACACACACACACACACACTCTCACACTCTCTCTCT